CACTCCTGGTCTCGGTCACATGAGCAGTGTCAGATCATTTATTTCACGCTGGGACCGGAGGTGGAGAATGCTTTTACCACATCGCTGACGACATTAGCAGTCAGCCTCTCTCCTCCTTCACCTCGCTCTCTAATGTCTTTTCAAATTGCAAGATGACTCTCTAACAGAATAACTTGTAAAATACAAACACTTTTCCTCATCTCTGCAAACACACACAAACATGCTCCTTAAATTAGAATTCGGGTCACTGGGTTTCATGATCCTCTCTTTTGTGTCTTTAGGCCATAAGATGGGGTAGGCAGCTTCCTGGAAAAGGCAGAATTTGCCCTCCTCCTGCAGCTCTACCCTCCCCAGATGAGCACGGGTATATGCATACCCTTCATATTGTAATCTATATGAGCACTAGTCATTCATGAGTCATCCCGATTGTGATTGTGATCCTGATGCTGTTATATAGAGTTCTATGAGAATTACCATCCTGGTTTCTTTGCAAACTTGTGAGCCTGTAAAGCCATTTGAGATGACATACTGTGATATGAGGCTCTAGCTAATGTCAGATTCATGAATTTGAATTACCTGCAGCAGCGAGCCTTTGGCTACAGTTAGCATAATGCTAAACTATCAGCAACATTCTCTCTCTATTTCTGAAATATTTTGCTGATATTGACACGTGTTTTGTTTGGTTTATTGACTGTCCATTTGAGAAGTCTGTCCGTCCTTTTTGGTTGCTTTGCAGCATAGGCAGTTGTTGCCAATGCTGGAATGGCCACTTTCTCTGCAGGATTCTTCACCACTGAATCAGGTTTTCACCATCTGGAAGAACGTGCATTGTAGAAAAGCCAGTAGAAACACCTTTTCTCTGAAATAACCCATTACTCTTCAAAGTCTCCTGTCACAGGTTAGATTTTCTAAAGCCTGAAAACAGAGCCAAGAGATGGTGCAGATGTCCCGTGTTCTCTCAGACCACTTGAATTACAATATGCTGAAGGTACCATGCCATTGTTGCAAGGTACCAAAATTCCATTGCCCCATTGGCCCATTATCCCATTGTTTCAAAGCCCTGTTTTTCTGAAAGTAAACACTCCTTGCAGTTAATTTCAGTTTCCCAGCAGTGTTTGAGCCTCTGATCGCAGCTGTTTATACCAACCCTTCGTGCCATTTCCCTGTGGCGTTTGAGCCATCAAACCTGAGTGTTTTCACTGACCTGTCTGTGCTTCTCCAGTGAATTTTGTGCTACTGAATGAGGGCGTTTTAAGTCAAAACATGATCTTTTCTTGACCATAACCAACTGGTTTTTGTGCCTAAACCTGACCACACATTCACCACATTGTTGAAAAACGTGAAGCTTCAATGCATTGGCTGCAAAACAGTGTAAAAATGTAAAGTATCATTGGTTTACAGAAACATCCAGTGCAAACATTTTTTTCTTGCGACCCTGTACCAGGATAAGTGGTTACAGATAATGAATGAATGAATAAATGAATGGGTTGTCCAACTGCAGGGAGTGTGTATTTTCAGAGAATTGTGACTTTGGAGTAATGAGCTCTAACAGGCCAGCTTTGAGATGTGCTTCTTTAGATGTTTCTTGGTAGAGATGAGACACTTAACGTCACTCTGCTCTCTTAATTGCACACTATCAAATGTTCCCTCCCGCTGGGTATCCAGGTATCCTGTGGTGTTACTGTAACTCCTTCTCCACATTACATAAGTGGGATGAAGCAAATAATGCTCAAGAGTAAATGGAGAAATGCTGAAGTTGTTTTCCACCAGTGAGCTGAGTGCATTACTGTCACACTGAGCCCCATTAAACTCACAAATGAAATGTTCCCAAACACATTTATTATTACCAAATCTGATGCAACCACCACTGATGAATAATGCACTACTAATACAACTCTGTACAGTGATTCAATATCAGCACAATAATAATCACTTGTTTTCTTACACAGAACCAACAATGATTAGGACGCTGGAGATATCAAACTTTTCCATGATTGTGACAGATTTTTAAACTAGAAAAATAATGACAGTTTTTGCTGGAAAAAGCAAAAATGACCGCAAGTTTGTACATGTAAGATACTCATTCATTCAGTGACGTTCGCACATGACAAGTTAACATATATTTGTTTTCTTTTTGTTGAACATTAAATTCCCTGATGTTTGTTTGCAGAACATCACAGCACCCTTTACATTAAAACATGCTTCCATGAACATGCACTGGATTGTCAATCAGTTGGCTTTAAAAGAAAAGTCTGACAAGTAGGGAAATGTGCTTACTTACATTCTTGCTAGGAGTTGGGTGATAAGTTTGATACCACTGTTGTATTCATACAAAGCTACCACAGACTGTATGTAAAGATGGATGACATGTCAGCTCCCAAAAGTGAAGCCAAAATGTCTTAATTGCCCCCTGGTGGCTGACTGCAGTATGGGTCATAAACTCCTCCCCCTCTCCATGTTAGCAGATGGGACATGGGCCATACTGAAAGATCAAAGTACGCGTCAAATAAACTTTTCCCAAAGATGGTTTCTTTCATTTTAGGTAGCTCTTATCACGCTGATGTGTGTTCAAGTGTTTATTTGTCTGGTAAGTTTGCTTTTAAGTTATTTGATGCAATAAAGAGGGTTTGAAATTATGATTAACAGCTGTGTGTACCAATCGGTGTGCTCAGAAATGTGTCCAGATAAAGACAAGTGTTTGTCTGTGAATGCTACGTTATGAAGCCAATTTATGTACTTGTGTTTGAAATTGTCGCTATTAAGCCATTTTTAATGTGTGTTTTGGGTGTGTTTTGAATCAACTAACCTTTACAGCACTTCACAGAAACCTCCACTGCCAACTAGTGTTTTGGAGGTGTAACTGCAGAGTGACACTGACACACCATGCACAAGTATAAAAGCTCACAGCTGTGTAGGCTACGGCATGGGGCTGACACACAAGTATAAATCCCGCTTATGGCTTCAAGTGATGTCACGAGTACAACATGGCAGCTACCTTATTTAGTTTTGGCTCCACTTTTTTTACAATGGGAGGAAGTAGAAACTCGTTATCCATCTTTATATACAGTCATTGGAGGCTGCAGTCAGGAAATGTTTAGCTTAGATTAGCATAAAGACTGGAAACAGGGGGAAACAGTTAGCCTGGCTCCGTTTAAAGATCACAGAATCCAGAATCAGCACCTAAAGCCTACAGCTCACTAATAAAAACATATTTTGTTTGTGCAATCTGTATGAAAAACCAAAGTGTAAAAATAATAATATTTATGTGCCAGGGTATCTCTTAGACTTCAAGGATGTTACTGCAATGTACAGATGAGATATGACTTGTTAAGTGACCTTTATATTTGTTGGGTGGTTGATTTAATTTTTCTGTTTCCAGTCTTTATGTTAAGCTAAGCTAATTGTTTCCTGACATTAGCTATATATTTAACAGGCAGAAAGTAAATAAGCATATATTTTCCCAAATGTGAAACTGTTCTGTTAATGGGCACTTCACGGTAAATGGAACACCTTTTTTCTTTTACTGTCATTTTGATTGAACTGTAGGAATAATGTTTGCAGATTTACAACATAAATCTGCAAACAGTTTATAGCAATTAATGGCAAGAAAAAAACCTTCTTTGTTGTGTTTATTAGTTTCCTGTTTTTGTTGATTCTGTTGCTGAGTTGTTTCCTGTCAGTGACAGAATAACATGCACAAATGCAGCAATTTATCATGAATGAGAATATAGCCATTTTATCCTGCAAAATGCTATTTAACCTCTTTTATATATATTATTTTATTGTTAAATTGTACAATACAGAATTCCAAACAATACACAAGACTTTTAGCTGACACACTGGTGAGATCCTTCTATGTTACAAGTACATTATACCCTGAAAAGACAGGCCGGCACAGTATGAGGGTCTGCTATAATCATAATGCTCTTTATTCTAAATCTCTGTGGTTGGCGTCCCATTCATTTAGTCTAGACTGATTTAATAAATATACAGATCATTCTTTCATTCACATTTGCTTCAACAGAAATAACCAATATTATAAAACTCTAAAAATAAACGTCAAATGTCTCACACCGTAACTGATAAAGTGCATGTCTGTTACTTGAGGCAGATTATTATTACAATAGATTGAAATTAGATGCTTAAAAATAAATGTATACACCACAACAGAATCAAATCTATAATATGAGCTGTTCCCCAGAGAGGAGGCAGTGGCAAGATTTCTAAACACACACACAACACTCCTTGTAAATTAATACAAGTCAAGTTAGTTAGTTAATACATAAAAAACCTTAAACTGTGTTGTTATTGTGGTCGTCAGTGCTGCTCCTGGAGATACAGTAGGTTTAGTTCCTGAAGTTATAGAAAGACTCATAAAAGCCCTCTTACAGTATGTAAAGCTTCAGGAAAGAGGTTTAGCGATAGAGGAAGGCGTCAAATTGTACAAAGACAAATTAAGATGGAGGTCAAAGATTTTGAATCTGGCTTTCATTTACAGTCCTCAGTAGCAAAGAAATGCAAATAATAATAATAATTTGACAGCTGGGACATGCACTTTGTTGCCAAGAGTTAGATGAGAAGATTGACACCACTCTCATGGATGGAGTGTTAATGTGGTAAATATGACGCTCTAGCCAGGAAATGGTTAACTTAGCTTAGCATGAAGACTGGAAGCAGGGGGAAGCAAGGTAACCTGGCCCAAGATTTCATTGGTCGCTTAGTTGCAGAATTTTTTTTAAATGTCAAAATAAATCAAAACCTTTATGACTGGACCATGTGTGAATTTAATTTGAATTAGCCACTTAGCACAGTCATTACTGCTTTGCCGACAGCGTCATCAACAGGCGGCTCGCTCAGTGTGTGATGTGCACTTGTAGATAAAATATAGGCCTAAAATATATAATTTATAATTAAAATAATATTGTAGACATGCAGGAGACTAGTCGACTACTGGCCCTAAATGACGACAATTGGTCGACTAGGAAAATTCTTAGTCGGGGGCAGCTAAATCGTATGCAGATATATGTTAATAGAGGTGAGCCAAAATGTTGTCTGGACCTGTCTCAAATTGCTAAACAATAAACAATGACAGGCACATTGAGGAAGAACTCCTGGCTCATGTATCCACTGGCTACACCAGCTCCCCCCAAAATATTGGCTGTTGCCTACAGAGGCTTTATCGCCACCAGATGATTGGTGCTAGGCTAACTGTATCCCCCTGTTGTCAATTAGTATGCTAAGCTACCCAGCTCCAGGCTCCAGCTACATATTTACAGAAGTGGTGTCTACCCTCTCAGCAAAAAAGTGAATGTACATATCTCCCAAAAATTCTTTTGAAAATCAAATGTACTGGAAAGCAGCCACAGAACATGCACTCGTTGCTGATAAAATCACATAGCCTTCAGGACTTCTCGCCATGTGGGGGGGAATGGTCTCGCTGAAACAGCAGGGTCACACCCTTCCTGAAGCGGTGGTCCCTGACACTGTAGATGATGACATTACAGCAACTGTTACTTGTCAGGATCCAGAAGGCAAAAAAGGAAAAGTTACACCAGGTATATCCCACCACATTCCCGAGCACAAACACTGCGATGGGAGAGAAGGATGCTGTGAAGGCAAATGTCAGTATGCCAATTGTCTTGGCAGCTTTGATGTCTGAAAAGGAGGGCCTGTGAGAGCACCCTCCTCCCCCTCCTCCTCCTCCTCCTCCTCCTCCCCCTCCGTCACTCAGACTCCCCTCTGACAGCAGTTTGCGTTTTCGGGAGTACCGTCGGATGCTGGTGAAAGACACAATGTTTACTGCTAATGTGCCACCGAGCAGCGTGAAGTCAAATGCTGGAAACGACAACAAAATGTTGGCGTCAGGTGGCAGCTGGCCTCCAAACAACAGTGGGGTGTAGTTACACATACGACTACACTCATTGTACTCCAGAGTGAAGTTGCTGCTGAAGATGAGGGGTGCAAGAGCCAGAAGGAAGCTGGCAGCCCAGGAGAGCAGGATGAGGAGCAGCGTTCGTCTCCGGGTCACCAAGGCGTCCTTGTGGAGTGGCCGTAGGATGGCCACGCTTCGTTCCAGCGTCATGAGGAAGATGGTGCTGATGGAGACAAAGGTGCATCCAGCAAACACGGGGCCAATCAGCATGCAGGGCTGCCACGGGCTCACCAGTCCCCCGAGAGGAGAGGAGGTGGCCGGGGAAGAAGAACTGCCCTGGTACCAAACAGGAGGTCTGCTGGTCACCATTAGAGAGATCTCGGTGTAGACGGAGAAAGGGACCACGAGGACACCGACCATCATGTCTGCTATGGCCAGAGACACTGTTGGAGAGGGATAACAAGAAGAGGGTACACATTCAGGCTGTTTTCCTGTAGATACCTACAGCTTTTTTAGTTAGATTTTCACTGTGAAATAGACAAGTGCAGTGTTGTGAATGTTTTTAAAGCAGCAAGAAGTGAACTTTTTCACATTTTATATAAAAAATCTGTATTAAATAAACCGGTATTTTGGGCGGAAAAGTGTGAGAATTGAAAGTCTAATCATATCTGGTCATTAGGCCTTCTTAGATTATTGTAATTAGACCTTAGAAGGTCGTTGGTGTTGGCAAGTTGAAATTATTCTTCATTAATTATATTGATTTTAGTAAAAATATGAAATCATCCTTAGTCATTATTTATTTTCAGTTTGAACATTGAATTTCTACTGGAAGGAACCCCATGGATTAGCATTTACACCTAGACAGTTATGAGTGGTAAGACGATAAAAAAAAAGTACCTTTCAGGTATCCCTGTGGTGTTCGGGACTGTCTCGTTTGCACAAAGACAGTAAGGGTGACCACATTTCCAACCACGATGGCAAAAGCCAGGCTGACCATGAACACCACTGCCAAAGTACGATTAAGAAATCCACAACAGCAGAGGGTGCAGAGAGGAGCCAGCGACTGGCCTGAACTTAGTCCCGCCTGAGTAGCTGCAGTCAGGTTAAACGGACCGTCTGTAGTCGGCAGCAACACTGCTGTACCCCCGGGAACACTGACGTTGGGAAGCAGAGCAGTCATGGCCCAGGATTGACTGGTTTTACCCCTTGTGATGTGTAGGTGGTAGGGCCACTCAGGAAACCATGTCCTGGACTGGGAAACTACACTGATGAAAAACGAAAGACATATAGAAGTAGTTAAATTGTCGATCCAAGTAATGAGTTAGTATTGTTAGAAGCAGGATACAGTGTATGTCATTCATCTGCGTGTCACACACAGTCAGCCATAGTTTCATGCCACAACTTTCTCTCACTGAAAAACAAATCAACACTCTCCCATCAACCATGAAGGTACAGCATCAACTTTGGGACCACAAACCACTCTAGTCACACAGAAGTGTTTATTTACACATATACAAACATATAATACATATATTTAAAGAAATGTGAGAAAGAAAACCTCCACGGGATTGAAAAGTGGCAATGTGCGGGCAGGAAATTACAGGAAATAGTTATTTATGTGGACATAGTGAAAGATAAAAATAAAGACATATTTTCGCATAGTACTTGACAACAAAGCAAAAAACACCAATCGTTAAACAACAGTCAGTAAAACTTTGTTTCAAGTAAAAATTTGACCTGAGCATGTTCACTGTAAACTGTAAAAGAAACAGAACCCCACTGGCTTGGTTTAATGGAGAGTTATCTCTAGATCCAGCTGTCAGAGAGAAATCCTTACTTCTGTGCTACATCTGTCGACAAAAAGTTGGAATACTGTTCTGCTGCAGAAAATCACATTCAGTTAGTACTTCTCATGATCTAACCCAGACATTTCAGTAGCATGATGCTTCAGAGTGGAACACGTCAGCCCATTTTGTTTTTAACAGTAGTTAATAACACTTAGTACTTTCACTTGTTCAGTGTGTTTCAGCTGCAAATGCCCACTTGAAGGGGAATTATAATCATTCACATTAGTTTCCAAAACCCAAAACACATCCTAGCCTTGCTGGATTGTTTTTAGCATTAAGCTAGAAAACCCTTCAAGCAAGTCATTCATTTGGAGCGACTGCTTTCTAAAGATCATTGCTTTTGAGTTAAATATATATTAGCCTGTATCATAAGCATATCAAGATACGTTTAGGGATTATTAGCTTAAACATTTGAAAGCCACCTATATAAGGGTACAATGAAAATGATCTCTGTGTCTTTGCATACACCTAGCTGCTTCCAGTATGTTGCTAAATGTAAATTTAATGGCTGGGGCGTTGATGGCTTAGTGGCTAGAGCAGGTGTCCCATGTATAAGGCTGTTGCCGCAGTGGCCCAGGTTTGACTCCAGTCTGGGGCGCTTTGCTGCATGTCATTCCCTCTCTCTCTCTCTCACCCCTTCACACTTAGCTGTCCTACCTATAAAGGCAAAAATGCCCAAAAAAAAATCTTAAAAAAAAAAAAAGCACAGTCACCAGAACAAAAAAATGTTGCCATTGTACACTTCTGCAAACTATGGATACATTATATATGTACATTTCATACCTATTACATTTGTAAATTGATGTAGTTCAGATTACATGTGCATGAGTTGAGTTTCTCATGACTGCCAAACAGCAGACAGCAAACCAGTGCTGAAGACGATACGCTGTGACATTTACAGCAGTGTTTGTGGTAACAACTGCTGGGTATTTTAAGCCAAAATGTCATCTTGTCCTGACCCTAACCAAGTGGGGCTTTTTTGTGACTAAACCACACATTAACCAGAGCGTATTAGCATACATACATATTAGCTGCAGATGAAACGTACAAATGTAGCATATCAACGGTTTGCAATAACATACAGTGTCAGCATTTACTCTGGTAATTGAGTTGCATTGATCGTCTCTAAAAAATACCTTTTATTCATTGTTTCTATATAATATTGTGTCATATATCAAGCCAAGCACATAATCCAATAATGTGTGGAGGATGTGGAGAGGTAAAACTATGTACACAACTGCAAAGTTTTAAGGTGGTGTATCAGGTGCAGTTTACCTTACAAATGTCTTATATAAATTGCTGAATTTTCTACGATAATAAAGTCATCGGTGCCAAAAAAAGAAAAGATAAAAGGGGCATGTGAATGATAGGTAGTCTTTTATCCAAGATTTCCCAAAGTATGGACAGTGATTTTTCTTCTTGTGATGTGGTTACATGCTGTTCCCCTGACCTAACACTGTTGGAAGCACCTCAACGCTGTCAGTACCCGCACAGAGACTCTGAGTTCAGTACTAAATGTCTTTCTCAGCTGACAACTAAATACTCGGGTCCTTCAATCATTTATGCTGTTCACTGGGCTGGAGAGCAGGAAGGTATACACATCCAAGAAAACAAAGGGTAACAGGAACGGACATATTCAGACCAGAGCAAAACCAAACCAAATCCCATGTTCTCACTCTGGCTGCGGGCGCAGATACATTCAAGGAAACATCGCAGCTGTGAGACTGGAATCCCTTATCTGTTATCGGCGGTGAATTGGCTTCAGAATAATGAGAGGTTCTTGAGAGGAAGAAATAACACTTGTGGGTGTGCAGTCTGTGGACAGCATATTGTTGAGGATTTAATGAAGACCCAGACGAATTGCATATGAAAGGGCCACAAAGCTTATTTCCTCAACATTGCATTCACATGTGCTTGATTACACTGAATTTGAATATTAGTCTTATGAGGAGGCTGATGGTGAAAACAAATTATCACTACAGAGAGCCAATTTAAATTCTGCAGCAATAAAACAAACTTGAATGTAAAGGATAAGATGTAATGAAACTTGCCAAAAGCATAGGAAATTGAATTGAAACATAAAGTTTAACTTTTTTTTCATGTTTGTCTCTTATCAAACCTTATTAAACAGCACCTAAAATAAGTATTCACCTCCTACAAAAGCCCTTTTCAGACATGGACTATATAACACTGCTGGTTTCATTTGTCTGTTAAAGTGAAGGCTTTTGTCATTCAGATGGGCGTATTTTATTTTAAAGTTCTTTTTATTAAGACTCAGACATGTCAGTAAATTTTAAGAAAGAGCTACATGCTCATGACACCTGGTGTGCAAGAGGGAGCATATAGAGAGAAAGAACAGCAGTGAGTTTACTAGGATTTTAAAAAAGGCAGTACTCACTCTTAATCACCACTTATCACTATTATGACCCACTATAAGTTAGGGCCGCAACGATAATCGAGTAATTGAATAGTTGTCAGCTATTAAATTAATTGCCAACTGATTTGGTAATTGATTAATCAGTGAGTAATTATTTAAGAAAAGAAAGTCAAGATTCTCTGATTCCAGCTGGTTTCTTTACTACACTGTGACAGTAAACCGATTATCTTTGGGTTGTGGACAATGACGTCATCTTGGGCTTTGGGAAACACTGATCGACATGTTTACCATTGTCTCATGTCAACTCATTAATTGACACTGAAAATAATTGTTAGTTTCAGCCATAGTAGGAGTATGTATAGGTGTATTCATCTGCAGAGACCCTGCCCTCCATCTGTATATTCTTATTTTCTTTTAATTTTTCTGTGTTAAGAGCCAACATCTGTACGTACGCTGTACGTATCTCTCCTGCATTGGTTTTGGTAGCTAATGGACGGCCTATTAATTTACGGTTACTTGGATTGTGTCTTTTCAAAATGAACTTCCATTTTCACAGGAAATGCATAGTTTCCACCTGTTGAATGCATGCAGTCTCTTTTCAAAATAAACTTGTAACTAAGAACTTGTTTGTAGGTTTGTAGGTTAAAGTCCTTAATGATGAATACATTTTATTTATAGGCGCCTTTCACGGCACTCAAGAGAGAGATAGAAAAAATTAGAAAAAAACAACAACATTCGTCCACAGGGGGAGCCACAGTGATCGGTCACATTTTAGCCATTTTTAAGCATTTTTTGGTTGTTATAGCGCCACCCAGTTGCCAATTAAAGTTAAATTTCTCCAGTCACCTTGAGGCGTCCTGTTCTACATATCTACCAAGTTTAGGCCTAGATAAGAAATTAGTTCTTTAGCGCCCCCATTTTGTTTGATGGGGTCAATAATGGAGGGGTCCCCTCAGATTATGTGTGGTCATATGCCTACAAAGTTGCATGGTGATGGGTGAAACCCTTGAGATGTTATACACCTTTATGTGATGAGCCACGCCCTCCGCAATATTCATTGCCTTATAGAAGATCAGTTTTAGTAAGTTTTCCAACTTCTGCCAAGAGGGAACTTTAGATATTGGTCCCTAGATTATGTTCACCGAGTTTCATGCAGATTGGTCAAACCTCCTAGGAAGAGATCGATTTTAAGTGTTTTTCAAAAAATTCAAAATGGCAGACGATCTATATAACCGGAAGTTATGGGTTCTTGAGGCAAATTTGTTCCTCATGAGGAGAGGCATCTCTGCAAAGTTTCATGTCTCTACGACATACGGGGCATGAGATATGCCCATTCAAAGTTTGCAAATTCAATCAGTTGCTATAGCGCCCTCCTTTGGCCAATTGATGTAATATTGCTTCATTGGCATCCTCCCATGACCCTCTACCACTGTGCCAAATTTCATATGGATTGACCAAGTCAGTGAGGAGAAAAACGTGGAACAGACACACAGACAGAATTTTCCTCATTATATAGTAAGATAAGATAAATAATAAAATAATAGATCAGAGAGGTACAGAGGAGCTAGGTTATGAGTGCCTTAAAAGGTGAGGCGTAAGATCTTGAATTCAGTGCGGTGTTAGGTTTAGGTAACAAAAGCACCTGGTTAGGTTAAGAAAAATATCATGGTCTGGCTTAAAATAAAAACGTGTTATGAATGTCATGTATCATCACATACATGCATCATTAGCATAGTAGGCTACACATACTAGTACACCACATTGTTATTAAAATAATTCCACTGACTTTACACAAGACATAAACAACGGTCTCGTGCGTGACAGTCTGGAGGTTGTTTGTACCATTCACCTATCCATCCCACCCGCCCTATACGGTAACTGCTTGAAACATCGAAAAATTCCGCCACCCGGTGCATCTCATACTGCCACTAAAGGTTGCCTCTGTGTGTCATTATTGGTATGCCAGGGACCACCGACCAAGTGTCGGTTTTCACGAGTTGGGAGTGAGACCAGGTTGTGCGTGCATCCAAAAGAAAGCTAT